AGCAGTAGCAGCAGCAGCAGCAGCAATAGTAGTAGTAGTAGTAGTCATGCTTATGCTAATAATAATAATTATAATAATAAGAATAATAAGAATAATAATCTTGATAATAGTAATAACGATAGTAATAAATGGTCAGGTGGCTAAGCCATTTACTTTAACTTGCGTGTGACCAAATTTTTTTTTTGAACAAATTATTAGTAAAAACAAAAGTTCTCATCCTTCTCTTACTATTCACTGTAGAAAAGAGTCTTAGGGTGCATCTGAAAAAGTGTAGAAAGACTCCTTTCAATTCCTGTAGAGTGGTAGTATTAAATGAATGTTCGAAAATCTCTATGTAATATATTCATTTAACATGAAGGTAGTTTTATCTATTAAATTTATTTTTGTGAAAACAATTTTCGATACATTACTTTCCAATTATCTATAGCTAATTTAATATTATGATATGATATTAATATAATATCACGAGCTAATATTATAATAGCGAATATTTATTTAACATGTTTTTAATGAATTTGGTACCTTTATCCAATTCAATGGATTGTCTTAATCTTAAAAGATTTTAGATTATTTTCTGATGAACTTGAAAATTGAATGAGAATCTGATTCTATCATTAAGTGTTATATTTTTAATCACTTCATAGGCAACGGAGAAAAATACAAACGTCTGTTTGTGAAAGGCATGCCATATGAGAAGGGTGAGTGTGGGAGTCTACAAGAGTTTATGCTAAGTATTTTAATACTTTGAGTATGCGTACTATTACATCAGGTTTCGAGTGATGAGTTTCTTGTAAAGCTATGTGCACAGATTTTAACAAAAATTTAAAATGATTTAACAGACACAGGCAGAAGTAAGAGAAGTAAGAATATAAGTAACCATAGTAGAGAAAAGCGGACAAAAGACGTGGCAGAAAACGTCTTTATCTGGCACCCGATACCCTTTGGTCACCAAGTTATCTGACCATTTTATGGGCCTACTGGAGTTAACTTCTAAAATTAAGGGTCCCTGATTTTACGGACTTACATGAAAATCAAGGTCTAGTTTTATAATGAAAAGAGCGCTCCATATCACCAATTTTAAAGTAGACTACAAGCCACAGGTCGTTTAGCATGAAATCAACTGCTCCACCTAATTTGTCTATGATTAGTAATTTAGCAATTGGTAATGTATACGCTAAGATTGTTGCAAGCGAAAGCATTAGGAAAAGAAAAGAGTTGCTGCTTCGTAAGGAGAATCAAGTGGAAATGAAAGATAGTGGCTAGTTGAGAATAAGTAGAGAGATATGTAGGAGAAAGATCGGGGTCTTGCGATACAGCAAGGCATGTAGTCCGCTGAAGTAAAATTTATTACGGCATTACGAAAGGTTAGAATGGATGGTGCGTCTTTTTGTGTAGAAAGTTTAGTATAATTTCAGCGAAAAAAATAACAATAATAATAATATTAATAATAATAATAATAAACGTGTATTAAATTAAACATTCGATAATTTGTTGATTAACTACTATAAAATGTTGATTATAATATACTGGTGCTGCGTCCAAAATCTTTTTTGTTGATTTTTTTTAACGTTTATAAGTTTTTCACGCACATCAGTTTAGTCATCTTTGTGCAAACACAGGCTTATAATAACAGAGGAAATAACGATTATTATACATTAATTTCAGGTTTTTTCACCCAAAACAAGAAAGTGTCTGCTTCATCAATTTTTTTTGAGTCCATGCCGTATAAAGTCAATCCAAAGACAGGACTAATTGATTATGATAAGTTATCGGAAATGGCCAAATTATTCAAACCGAAAGTAATTATTGCTGGGGTTTCATGCTATAGTCGATGTCTCAATTATAACAGATTCAGAGAGATAGCAGATGAAAATAATGCTTATCTTGTAAGTGATATGGCACATATTGCTGGCTTAGTATCTGCTGGAGTAATACCAAGCCCATTTGAATACAGTGATGTAGTTACAACAACTACTCACAAAACGTTAAGGTAACAATATTGATGACATGTAACATAACTTTATGCTTTGAGAATAAGCTATTATTAAAATTAAAAAAAAATTAAATGATTTTAAACGAAAAAAGTATCATAATACACATCTAAAAAAGTTCATGTTTTAAAAAACTTATAATTATAACCTTTATTATNTGTAACTTTTACTTTGTATTTATATATATACTTTATAATTTTTCATCTTCTTTCTTTATTCTACTGTGATTATTAACGTTTAATTTAGTGTAAAGATAATAAATATAGTGTAAATGATGTTGATTTTGATAATGACATCCTTGTATGTTTATAGTTAAGTTTAGTAATTTTCTCTACTAATAATCTTATAAATGACATACGTCTCAATAAACAATGATCAAACATCTATTGTTTTCTGAGCTTCGTATATTTCTCTTACCATGTGTAAACTAGGGTAGTTTTTAGCAAGGGTGCGTTTAAATTTTTTTGCATTCCAACCTTTACTCTTGATATGTCGGTATTTCAATACAAAGTTGTACATCTCGCTGAAATACAACTTTTTTAATACAATTCTATAACTAAGTGTTTGGTACAAAATGTTAAAAGCTCATTGAAATAAAACTTCATTGTGAAGTAAGTTTTTCTGTCAAGTGCTTTCGTAACGATTTAAAATTTAACGATATAATTCGCACAAGTACACCAAATAATGTGATTAATCAACAATTTCAACGTTTTTTACTGCGCATGTCCACAAGAAATAACATACACAATTTCGATAGCAACTTGTACTTAATGTAAAATCCGAGAGATCAGCAATTTTAACCATCAATTGCTGCGTAATTATTGCACCACGACTGTGCTCGTCTCAATCGAGAGTCATTAGGTTAAGCTCTGATAAGTCGTTCGGATCCCCAACTTGACGCGTCCTCCTTAAACGCAAGAGTATAAAAACTCCTTGCACATAACAATTTTTACCTTTTCCCTTTCATCAAGTGCTCAAAAGTAACTATGAAGGTTGGAGAGTGAGTTCTGTTGTGTCTTTCAAGCGGATGTAAGACTTAGTTCGGTGATTAAGCTACGTGTTAGAAGCGTGCATTTCAAGCAAATGTAAGACTTAGTTCGGTGATTAAGCTATGTAAGAAAAGCTCGAGCAAACCAGACCGCTGTAGACTCGCCTAAAAGGTGAATCAAGGAGGAACAAGAAAGAAAGGACCGTCGACTTGGGTTCTGACGTTAAAAGCAGCAGCCTAATTATTGTCATCGCCACGAGTACTCTCGTGTAGGATTAGGAACGTCGTTGCGGTCAACCTTGTAAGATCTTGTGACTGCGTGCGCGCAAGCAGCGGCTAACCAACAATCACACAAGTAAGTTAAGTTAAGGAAACTATAAATTGTATAAACATTGTAAATGCGAATCTGAAATTTTATAATTTATACTATTGGTAAGATCAACTGTTTCTGGCTTTTCCAAATTTATTAAATCATTAGATAAGATATAACTTGGTTATTGATTAAATTTACTTTCTTAATTCACAAATATCCCAATTATTAAAGTATATGAAATATTCTAAGATTTAAAATTCTAATTGATAGAAACATAATTCTTACTTGATTAATAAATTAAATTTTAAGAAAAAATTAACTAGACAACGTATGACAAAGACCTTTACAAAGACGTGAGATAAAAAGACGAATAAGATATGCTACTACCGTATAACATACGACATAAACTCAAACAGTAGGTCAACGCTAGCTCGGCGTACACCACTCCATACACACTCTCGGTGAAACGTAACACCACAACGCCGAGTCAACGATTCAAAAGAAAAGTACACTGTAAGTAAAGTCAAATAAGGCCTTTGGGCCGTTGGCTGGTTCCTGACGAACAAAATTTTAATTTCTTTTTTTGTAGAACGAATCAACGAGTTCTGCTCTTCACTAATAGAAGGTCAAACGTAACACATGCATTATTATGAATCACAGGTAGAAAGTGATACTTGGTGAGGGAAAAGAGACCTATCCAGTATTGACATAATTCGAACTCGTAGTGGTAGGAGGTTTCTAATGGCTCATATTTTCACGAATAAAGTAAAGACTGTCGTAGTACAAGAAAAATCTTTAACAAGCAAACACATAATGATGTATAACATGCGAGAAATCGCGCAGTAAACTTTTTTTTGCTATAACACTTGAAATCTCAAAGTTTTTTAATTCTGAACCAAAGATATTTAATTATTAAAGATATTCTTTTAAAATTAAAGATGGCGCCTTAAACCGATCAAAAGATCGTGAAGATTTGGGAGATGAATACGAAAATCTTGTTTTCCTCTGATAAGAACAACATTTTTGGAGTTAATTCGATTTCAAAATATAGTATTTAACATATAGTATGTATAAAAAAAAAAAGTTATAAGAGGGGTACCCCATCTTGTCCAATATCGAACTAGAAATTGACGTATTTCAAATAATAAATATGATTTTCAGCGATCATCTTTAATTTCTCGCTATCAGACCAAAAATTTCGAGGTTCTCTTGAATTACAAATGTGACATTTCATTTCATATATTTAATACTTATCACTTTGAAACACCCAGCTCAGTTCTAAAATTATTTTTAAAAAGTGCTCAACGATTTTTATACATCGAGCTGTACACCTGCTTCTGCAATCACGTGGCTTATAACTTACTTCTTTTGAAAAACTCTACCGTCGCAAAATCCAACTACGCGTTGAATCTCTGAGCAATCTGATAAAGCGCTTATCTTACTACATCAATGTGCACTAATGCACAAAAGAATATGATCAGTCAACAATTAAAACATTAATTGCTGCAAATGATCTAAAAAAAAATTAGTACACAAATTCAGCATCAACTTGTACCAAAATGTAACATCCAAGAGATCAGAGATTTTAAAAATCAATTGTTGTACAGTTATTGCACCACAGTTGTGCTTGTGTCGATTGAGGGTAATTAGGTTAAGCTCTGATTGGTCGCTCAGATCTCAAGAAATGTATCCTCAGAAAAAAAGTCTAAAGGTAAACGAGAGATTTGATGGATGAGCGTTGCTTCTAGAAGTAAAACCGATGCGATGCCTGTCAAAATCGTTGATACAATTTTTTACCTAGAGAAATAAATTGATAAATTGAAAATTAAAAAAAAACTATTCTACGAAATTATTTATGAAATAAATAACATTATCATTTAAAAATTTTTTTACTGTCATTAAACAGAACACACATTGAATTAAACATGTGTTAACAGAATCCAACTTTTTTTAGAGTTATTATTTGAGTTTATACAATTTTTTTTAATTAGTAAATGAAACAATAAGTATTGCATGGTCTCCTTTCTTATCAACAAAATATTCTATGAAATAACCTTAGTATTTTTCCTACCCATTATCTTTGATATTTTCTGATAATAGCCTCGCAAAAAATTATCTTTATTTGAAAGGAAGCACCTACTAACCCATAGCGATTGCAGTATCTTTAAACGTTTCATACTTTATATTTTTATGTATTTTAAAATCCTTAAAAGATGTTACTCCAAGTTTTTGATTTAAACAATTAAAATTGAAAACATCGTTTATAATTTTTTGGAGATACTATTTTAAATCTGCCTATTGCTGTATTTTTTTCACTTTTTCTCTATCTTTCCAAATTTGAAGATAATTCAAAAAAATTTAATTTTTTAGGTACAATCCCGTATTTTAGTGAGCTTGCTAAATAATTGATTTTATTTATCTCAAACTAAGCTGTCAAGAGTGTTTTTTATTTTTTTGTATTAGTTGTCATTTTTATTTTCTTTAAATATTGATTTTTGCTGATTTTTGAGAAATCAGGCTAAATCAACAACTTTGTGACTTCTACCACAAATTGAGAATTCTTGCATTTTTGTTGCTTTTATTAGACTCAAACATTTAGCGCATAGTTTTTAATTACGTTTAGAACTTTATTGTTTATCACCCCCTATAATAAATGTGGTCCTATATATTTATTTTTACAATTAGTACAATCATTAAATTATTTACTGAAATGTCGTCTTAATTTTGAGTTTCATGAAAATAAATTTCAGAAATATTTTTCCTTATGAACTGTGGGTAACCATTTTTCCTAACTAATATTAATTAGTTAAAAGAAATAAATATGTTGACACATTTATAAGTATGTTCATCCAAACATAGACCCAACCCTGTATGGTACGAGGACCACGCAGAATATGTTCAACAACTAATGTTGGAAGTTCTACATTGTCTGAAGGTATTTCAACTGTCATTTTATCAGTGTGTTTAAGTTTCTAAATAGTTAATAATTGAAATATGTCTTTAAAAGAATACATCGTGTATGTATTGATAAAATTTTGTGTAACTACAATAAAAATCTAAAAAACTTCATTGTATTGCAATTTTGGTGATTTATTATTTATAATAAAGATTGTTAAAACACTATAAAAGTAGTTTGTAAGATAATAAGAAACGAAGAAAGGAATATTTTACAAAGTTTTACGAAAGTATTAAGTCATTATCTAGTTATCAAGGGTTGGCGCACAGAGCGCGCAGAGTGGCAAAGCCCTACTCGTTTATATACATATATCTTGCTTATTTATGTAGTAATTTTTTTTTTATCTATGCAACACTTCCTCACACTATTTTTATAGACGTTTTTCTTCACACAATCAGAAAAAATTTGTTAAAATTCTCTATTATTGTAAATAAGTCAATTTAACAGATTCTCTTGACTAAGCCTGTAGCCTCTAATAAAAAAAAGGAAAACTTGTTTACTTGCTGTATTATTTTTCTTGGGTACTAATTTTAGAATTCCTCAAACTCCTAAAATTTCTCTGCGATCTCCCTACATTCCTCATAATATTTTATTAGTAGATCTGATATATTGAGTTGAGGTTGTATCAATTACGAACATTTTTAAGTTATGTTGAAAAAGACTAGAGTCTTCTGAAGGTTGACAACCCTATTTCCTAGTCCACGCAATAATATGAAATTGGTTTAAATTCTCTCTTGTCTTG